TGGTCACAAATGGGAGACAAACACTTGAGTGCGAGGAAAGAAAGCGCTAATAATATGTTTGTTATGTAATGCAGACCAAAGAGTTGTCTCAATTCGAGCCGTGATATCAATGACATGTTTGGCCACTCTTTGCGACAATATGTCCAACAATTCAATACAATTCAACACAAATGACAATCAATTGTGACAAACGCTTCAAACTGTAAACAATTACACAATATTACAGTGTTATGCAAATTGACAGACAATCCGTAGACAACGTTACACTCATTTGCCGTGGGGTTGAGCCCAATGAGGGGTCGGTGAGGGGCGCCCGGAGGGGCTCGCAAACCTGCTAATAATATAGTGGGTTAGTTGTGCATATGGGTGAGCATGGGCATTTGCCATTAAGTTGGTTTTCTAAATTATGGTCACACCATTTACTGCCCCATATTGTGTGGGCTCTGAAATATGAGATTCTCTAGATTCTCACAAATTCATGAATATTCTATATTTTGTATGAATATTGTTTTTTGTTAATTTTATGTTTGCTTAATAAGTAACATATTTATGTTATATTTGTTACTATCATTACAAACATTTTTTATATCAATCTGTAATACCTTAAAGTCAATGTATAAGCTCTGCTTTATAAGGAAAAGTAATTTTTAGTTTAATTTGTAAATTTTGGGCACTTATACCAAATCGTGGATTGGTCTCAAGTTTGGTCTGAGACAGTAAACCCCCAACAATACACGTTAATATTGTTTTAATTTAGTATTGTTATATATTATGCTTGAAACAAAATTAAAAATAAAGTATCACCTTACTTAATTTTTATTAATATTCTCTATGACATAGAATAAACACACCAATGCAGTACTATAGGTCCTATAGGCACAGTCAAATCAATGTACGGCACTTTGTAAGTAGGGTTTTGCTAATCTATAAATATATTTGCAAATTTTAAAAAATTGCTTAAATAAGTTATGCTTACATTCATATATTCGGGGAATTATGGTAACTAACAGTAAAATGGTTTGTATTAAGTTGTGTTAAGTTACCAAACGTTTAGTTAATAAACAATGAATTGCAAAAAAAATCATGAATTGCAAGATTTGTTCAATAAATAGTTTATTTGCCTATAATTCAAGAATTCAATGATTTATTTAATATATGAAATAAAAAATGTAATTCCGATGAAAATGAGTATTTAATTTGAAAAAAATGAGATTAAATTAGAAAAATAATAACAAAATATTTTAGTAAATACATTACAATTGAAAAATTAACTAAAAAAATATTTAAAAATAACAAATACTATGCAATCAGTTGTTGCGATTGCGGGGAACGGCGCACACCTGATATGGTTTGGGTGCCATAGAGGCGGCGACAATGCCCTGCGCTTTGGGCGGGTCTTCGATATCGGGAACACATAAATCGAATTCTTGTAATAAACTCGAGAGGAAGAGAAAGACTTCCATTTTAGTCAATACATCTCCTAAACACATTCGCCGCCCTTTAAGATAGAATACATTTCATATTATATACCATTAGATTTTATAAGTGGTTTAATATATCAAATGAGACTCACCGACAGAGAATGGTATAAAATGATCAGGTTTAAAAACCTTTCCATTTCTTAGAAACCTTTGCGGTTCAAACTTTTCGGGATCTATCCATAGTTTTGGGTCCATATTTATGGCATATAAATTCGGTAATATGTGAGTTCCGGCGGGGATTCGGTGACCGCAAAGCTCGGAGTCTCTGTTTATGACAATAAATAATTTAATTAATAAATCAATGAATACAAAGTGTGGCATAAGATATAAAGTGAACAAAACGCGTACTCAAGAGTGGAGTGAGTATTTCCGAGTGCAATGACATTAGATCTGCGGAGAACTTCCCAAAAGGTGGCCTCAGTGTAGGGCATAGAACTCATGTCATCCAATTGTGGCATACGTTTACTACCGACCACTTCGTCGACCTCCGATTGGATCTGTTTCTGGACTTTTGGGTTCAACATAAGGAAGAGAACGGCCCACTCGATGGTCGACGTGACGTTCTCCAGACCGGCGCTGAATATATCATTCATCACTTGAATCAGCTGTTCCTCCGAGAAGTACGAGTGTTGTCCGGCTTTCTTATACTTTTCCTGTTGGACGAGATATGCGTCGACAAAGTCTCTGATCTGATCCCTGTCCAGCGTCTGCCTGTGTTCGTCGACAATCTTCTTGAAGTAAGAGCTCGTTTCGGTGCGATTCTGAATGATCTTCTGGTAGGCGTAGTTCACTCCGGGAACAAATCGCAGGAATGGGAAGAAATTGACGGGCATTGCGAGGGAGAAGAGTCGGAAGCCCTCCTCCATCAGACCCAACAAATGCAAGAATGTTTTGTCTTCAGAGCTCTTGAATGTCATACTCATGAGCAGAGATCCGACGACATTACTGACGGCACAGGCGAGCAGTGGTCGTATACGACACGGACGAGAGTCACACGCTTTGAGATCAGAGAGAAAGTCCTGCACCTGAGGCTGGGATGGGATTTAAAGCAATATTTCAATGCACTGTTCATATACTCTACACAAAGAATAAATACATAATTAGCCAAATAAATATAACCAATGATAAAAGATTTACAGTTAATGTATAGGTCATAGTTATTTTACCAATACTGTAATATAATAAATAAATTAGATTAATATAATATTAATAATAATAATATATTAAAATAATTAAATATTAAAAAATACATAGTATAAGCAATATGTTCATGGTGTAATGCATACCCGAATCTTGTGCTCGAGGCAATTGCGCCCCTGGAGGAAGCTTTTAGCGCCTAGTTTTCGAAGCACAGTGTGAAGGAACGCTCTTTGCTCTTTCCAAAGCGCTCCGTCCGAATTGATTATTCCTGCAATCATTTCAACCAATATTCAATATATGTAGCTTTTTGTGCTCAACAATTATATTGTAACTTCGTTTTTAAACCACAGTTTGGTTTATTAATAATTAATGCATAGATTTTAATGGCATCTATTTTTACTGAACATAGTTTTTGTATGTGATATAAATAGTTATAACTTTAAGCAAAGTTTATATAAGTTTATATATTTTTAAAATAAGTTGATTCAAAACATTTGAGTAAATAAATTAAATTTAGAAAAACATAAATAAAGTAATGAATAGAAATGTCGATCACATACCATATCCCTGAAGAATTTTGGTTAACTCTGTGTCGGGTCTTCCGGAGAAAACTTGGAGTCGAAAGGCTTCGCGAATGATATTCGTATCGTTGATGACTACAATACGTTTGTTTCCCAGAAATATCTGATATATTGGTCCGAAACGCTTGGATAAGTCGGTTAGAGTGATGTGAAAGTAGTTTTGGCCTAAGAATGGCAGGAATCCAAGCACTGGTACGCCGAACGGACCCGGAGGTAGAGGTAGTAGATGTGAACGTTTGATGGAAAGGCGAACGATTAAGAAAACAATAATAAATATGAGGCACAAACGGACGGTGGGAAGGGTAGCGACCAGAGTTGGGACCAGAGTATGCATTTCAATGTAGTTTTGCGAAAAAAAAGTTTTGCAAAAAAGTTATATTGAAATTATAAACTTTGAGACCAAAAAGTTTGTGGCGAGCGATGGGAAGAGTGAGAGTAAGTGGAGAGAGTGGTTGAGTGAAGAATTGTATGGTTTTGTTGGAACCGTTGGAAGTGTTTGTATCGCTGGTGTGGAGAAGTTGTGCCCAAAAGCGGACAATAGTAACGGATAGTTTAGAGTCGGCTTTTATATGGGAGCTGAGGTGCGAACTCAAAACACACACCAAACATATATAAGCCTTTGACAAAAATATTGATTATATTGTACAGCACTGCCCCCTCACTAACAAGTGGTGGCCCGCACTGGCAATAGCACTGGTATGGCNTAACTTCGTTTTTAAACCACAGTTTGGTTTATTAATAATTAATGCATAGGTTTTAATGGCATCTATTTTTACTGAACATAGTTTTTGTATGTGATATAAATAGTTATAACTTTAAGCAAAGTTTATATAAGTTTATATATTTTTAAAATAAGTTGATTCAAAACATTTGAGTAAATAAATTAAATTTAGAAAAACATAAATAAAGTAATGAATAGAAATGTCGATCACATACCATATCCCTGAAGAATTTTGGTTAACTCTGTATCGGGTCTTCCGGAGAAAACTTGGAGTCGAAAGGCTTCGCGAATGATATTCGTATCGTTGATGACTACAATACGTTTGTTTCCCAGAAATATCTGATATATTGGTCCGAAACGCTTGGATAAGTCGGTTAGAGTGATGTGAAAGTAGTTTTGGCCTAAGAATGGCAGGAATCCAAGCACTGGTACGCCGAACGGACCCGGAGGTAGAGGTAGTAGATGTGAACGTTTGATGGAAAGGCGAACGATTAAGAAAACAATAATAAATATGAGGCACAAACGGACGGTGGGAAGGGTAGCGACCAGAGTTGGGACCAGAGTATGCATTTCAATGTAGTTTTGCGAAAAAAAAGTTTTGCAAAAAAGTTATATTGAAATTATAAACTTTGAGACCAAAAAGTTTGTGGCGAGCGATGGGAAGAGTGAGAGTAAGTGGAGAGAGTGGTTGAGTGAAGAATTGTATGGTTTTGTTGGAACCGTTGGAAGTGTTTGTATCGCTGGTGTGGAGAAGTTGTGCCCAAAAGCGGACAATAGTAACGGATAGTTTAGAGTCGGCTTTTATATGGGAGCTGAGGTGCGAACTCAAAACACACACCAAACATATATAAGCCTTTGACAAAAATATTGATTATATTGTACAGCACTGCCCCCTCACTAACAAGTGGTGGCCCGCACTGGCAATAGCACTGGTATGGCTGTAGCGAGTGGTGTGGCTTCAACTGCAATCTTATAGAGTACAGTAGGTCTCAGAGTTGATGGCCTAGAATTACCTGTCATTTAATGCTCTTATGGAACATCACAGCACATGTCGATAATTAACAACACTCTCTGTGCTCAACAACACTGCTCTCCCAACACATCCATACGAAACACCACTGCTTTTGCTCTTCGTTCCGACTCCTCTCTCAATACACCGCAAACACAAACTTCAAACACTATTTCAATACTTTTATTTCAATCTTATAGTAAGACTCTTATGATGTGCCGAAAGTATCAATAATTATAACAATAAACAGTCACTTCTTATAGCATTCTTATATGCATTTCGCACAAAGTTGTAAAAACTAGTCTATGAATTGATTTTGAAGATAAATCGGTATAAATCTAATTGTAGAGCAAATGTTAATTAAAAGGCATATATATTAAGAAAGGGAATCAATAAGTAGTGAAAAGATGGTCTCTGGGAGTAATTTCCTCGTTTGGTAAGTCTTCCGGTGCGGCCCTAATGGCCCTAATCTGTACGATATGTACGATATGTATGCGATATATACGGACCAGTGATGGGTCGTTGAACTTTCTTCACTCAGAATCCAAAGCAGTGTTTGCAGTCTTTTGTAAAAAGTTTTTAATGTTGTTTACACTCAACACAACACAACAGATATGTTTTCAAACAAATCGCATTTCCGTAACTCCTTTAGTTGACCTGTCAGTCCTGCTACCAGTCCTGCTACCAGTCCTGCACCAGTCCTGCTCCCAGTCCTACCATTCCTGCCATTAATTGTTCCGTACGTTTTTGTGTACCTCTTGTGTTACCAACAAAACCCAAACGCATACCAATACCAGCGCTTCAGACCATCATATCTCAAGTCTGGTCTTTAAACAGTCTCTCACCAGACGTTAACTCACAGGCAAAGAGTGAATAGAAAGTACTTTAAGACTGTTTTTATAAATATCTGTTTTTATGCATATATTCCTCCACTTGTTTGTTGACTTCAAGTTGTTTTTTGCAAAACTTTTCTACAAATTTATTTGTATCCAAATATTTTTTATTATAAAAATAACAATAAGAAAATATTTTTATGAGTTCAATATTACTATTAAAATGCATTTCATATAAATTATACATTTTATACTATAAAATACTTATTAGGAAAATATTTACAAATTTAAGAAAACATACAAAAGTTTGTTTTATTTGATGGAATAATACCGCAATTATGTAATAATTTTTTGGTTTTATATAACCAATACTAGTTTGGATAATAATCATAATAAATAATATAGTGATAAACAACAAAACATGTATAGTATTTTTTGGTAGAATTAGCATTATATTGAATATCGAAACTCAATTTTAATGATTTTATGGGTCGTAAAAAGTTTGCGAAATGTATAGTATTTTGGGGTCGAGTTTTTGGATGCATTGAAGAGACTCTACCGTTGAGAGAGTATTAGAGAGAGTGAATGTGAGAGGAAAATACTGGCGGAAAGTGTGAGAACATATACCTGGTTTGTGAGGATGAGGGGAGAGAGAGAGAGAGAGCTATAGCATCGGTTGTATTGGACAAGTAGGTGAAGAAAAGATATCACATATAGTTTGTAGGATAACGTGTAAAAAATAGAGTGAGAAATGTTAACTCAGTTATAGGTCGTTGAACTCAAAGCTTGTGTCGTTTTGGTTTCTCTCAGTTTTTGTTGAGACTTTTTAAGAGGTCTTTAATGGAAAGAAAAAATGAAAGTCTATCCAAATGTTGAAAAATGCAATTTATTATTGATTATAATTCTAAATACATTAATAATTATTAAATAATTTACATTTTATAGATATTACATGAGATAATTGGATATTTACAATGAAATGCAATGATTTTTTGTGGACAAAAAAGTTATAAACGCAGAAAAAAGCGCAAAGAATTTGTGTTGAATTTCGCGATCTAATCGATGGAATAATTAATAGTTTTGATGTTTAATATGTTTAATAGTCAGATGAGAGGTGTATATGAGGTGTACTTGAAGTTAGAGATGCGATAAAATTGGGTCAAAGCGTTAAACTTGCAATCAAGCGGTCATTGACACCAATCGTAAAACTTTCCCTTTTATTTTCAGGTGAACGCAAGTCATAAGACTTAAGACAAAAAGTCTTTTCTTTCTATCGCTCTCTCACCGAAGATATGGTCCAACTTTTATGATTGATTCGCATCTCAATTGTATGGCAACACAACCAAGTGTTGGTTGTGTTACACTTACCCAATAGACTCGTGGTTTGGTTTATTGTGAGCGCCTATAGCTTTGGTGATGCGATGAGCGCTCACTTTTGAGGGCCACCGAACCCGAGACCGACTCCACGCTGTGTGTGAGTCGAGAGGCGAGCGATAGTGTACTGCAGATCCAGATTTCGAAACAGAGTTTCTTGACTTTCGATCGCACTTTCATTCTTACTCAGAGCTGAAGAACTCATGTCTTTCTCTTTAATTCCCATCAATTTGCGGAACTTTTCCGTCATTTCATTTCCTTTTTCGCCTTCAAATTTCAAACCATTCCATTGATTAGACTTCACTCCCGATGACTGTCCACTCGCGGCCACCGCTCCACTCGTACTAATGGTACTACTCTTCTCAACCTAACCATAACATCAACACAATTGCAAATCACATTTAAATCATTAAAGCAAAGAATATCGCAAAACAATTACTTATAAATATTTATAAATACTAAATCAATAAAAAGTTAAATAAGTTTTAATATGGATTATGCCTTAAGTGTAACATAAAAAATCTATAATCAAAACAAAATACAATTCACGAAAACTAAACCCTCAATACAGTAGTCGTTACACAAATTAATAACGGTATAAATGAGCGAAATATATATAACTTTAAGTTTAATAATAAACTATTTTTATGTTCAAAGCGTTTAAAGAATACTATAATTAGAAATTAAATTATATCACACATTAATAATCATATAATTTGTTAAAAATATGTTAGTTTTAACGCCAATAATAGCTAAAAACGTTTACTAATAAAAGCATTTTGTTTTTAAAATACTCTCTTCTCTCTGAATATTATCAGTCATTATCTTTAAATATAAAAAATGCAAAAACCAAACCAACATTTTCGCAAATTTTCATTTTAAGTGATTTTTCATTTTTCTTATCAAAGATGTTATCATTTTGAGGAAATTTTGTACAATTTATGTCTTACACCAAAATTGTCTAATCATTAGACTCTAAATGTCTATACATTTGTGATTCACTTCAAGGAAACACAACCATAGATGCAGACCCCCTATGGCTCAACCGTTTAACACAACCATCGCTTGAACACAACATTTTGCCGTTATTTTCCCATTTGATAAAACCAATTACCATATGATCCAATGTACCTAGGTCATGCCCAATTAATACCATCATTTATTTGTATCTTAACATATATGATACACCTTATAAAACTCATTCCCATAACAACATAGTTTCAAAACTAATTTCATAACCATTT